CACAGGCGAATCTGGCACCAGTGAAGTGTCACCGAAGAGTAGAAGGCGTGATTGGCCTGGACGAGAGTCGGCTCGGACCTGGATCCAGGACTGCGCGTGTGCTAAGCGCGCCAATTGTCACTGCACCACATCCGCCTTATCCTTCATCTCTTGTCATAAATACGGAAAACCTCCATAAATATCTACAAAAGATTGCATTTACAAAGAAAAATGTTTTTGTGGTAGCTGTGTCGGAAAGCGGTGGACGAGAGCATCCGATCGTGATAGTTACAGTCCTGTTCGCTGGGATGATAGGGCGTGTCAGAGAGGCTAGGTTTGCCCGTCGCCAGTGCGATCTCATCAGTTGTTGAAGCGGGTAAGCGACAATATTTGGTGGGAAACGACCAACACGAACGGTATGATACAGTCCTATCGCTTGTCGAATGAAAAAAAGATATGAAACGGGTTGGCGCCATCCCCACCCACTTCCCTCTCCCTAGCACACCCCATCATTCGCAGCGAACGAGACTGTAGTGACTGCTGTCCAAAGGCGACAGAAAATTCCGTTGTCAAAACTGTTTCGGAAATATGGAGAATGTATTTGTTATGTTACGACTAATTTGTAAGGAGCGACGGAAACTTGGAGTGATCAATTTCCCGATTTCCGAAGATTATCCAATGTACCTGCCATTTTTCCAGAATGAGACCAAACGCGGGAAGGAGCTGGGTGCCGTAGAGAAGTATCGGCTCCGACGAAAATATCCGCCACCGCGAAGCATATGGGATGGACAAGAAACTATCTACTCATTCAAGGAAAATAGCAGAAAGGTAAGGGTTGTCGTTAGACTGGTTCCCTTTCTATTTCAACTGTTAGCATTACAGTACCTAAAACAGTTCTACAAGCAAAACCAGTATCCTACTCTGGATCAGAAGAAGGAAATCTCTAGAGCTACAGACTTGGAGATCGTACAGGTACTAGGTTCTCTCCTAGAAGAAATTTATCTCATGAAGAAACAACCTTCAGATCTCAAACTGGTTCAAGAATCGCCGCCAACGGGACAAGACGAGAATGGAATGCGCGCAGTACGGTCGCCCACAAATGGTGCAACTGCAGACGCTCGCCTACGGTAATCTACCGTTGAATATGAATATCACAATGCCGTATTCATGCAAAATGGAGTGAATGAAATAAATATCTATGTACGTGGGCCGGTGTTGACACAATTACCCGAAAGCTGAGATTATCATTTCGGCTGGTTTGGCCTTATTCATGGAGCTACAGGATTGTTGCCCTTCAACGAAATATAGCTCTAAAATATTGCGTGGGGGGGGGTGCTCCATCAGTAGTGCTCGTTCACTATCGGACAGAACAGAGGATGCGGTTTGTGAATTCAAACTAGATCTAACATCGTGCTACTATTCTTTGTAAACTTCTTTTTCTTCAAACTTCAAGTCAAAGAGTGATAAAAGGTTGTTTTCGACGCCGCGGTCCTTTTCTAACGTCTTCAGCAGCGCCGCGTCAACTTATCGAAGAATTATTTTCGGCAGGGATTCCACGGTAGGCAACTGCCGTGCCAGTGCATTTGACATAGGACGGACGGGTGCTAAGTGTTTAAGCGGCAAAAAAGCCGACATGAGGAGACACTACCTACACTAAGTTTGCTGCAGAGGTGTGTCAGGACGATTAGGTTTTTCGCTACGCCAGTGGCCAATTGTTCGAGCGGGCAAGCGACCATCGGTGGAAAACGGGCTGGTGCTGCGCCAAACCTAGCACCCCTCCCCCGACACGCCCTAGCGATTGAGCGGAAATGAATTTACTTATATTTTCACTCGCGTCCTGTCTTGCGGTGAGAATTTTAAAGGTGCTTCAATCATTTATAATCTGAGCCACAGCTCTCAAACCTAATACTGAGATCTCTCTACCGTCTAATTATAAGAATGCTTCCAAGTGCCGTAAATCCAAATGCGAGTTGGCCCATCGCTAATGAGGCGAGCAGTCCACACCGTGTACGCTTCATTCGGTCTCTGGCAAAATATGGCGTTCGCAGGGCACGCCATCGCGTTGTCATCATTTGCTGAAATTAAGACCCCCCCCCTCCATGCTGCGCTACTGCCGAAGAATTTTCCGTGAGGAGGGGGGGGGAGCGGGAAGGTCGCCAGGATCTAGTATATAACTATCATTTTCAACTATCGGGATTAGTAACTGCATACATCTTTGGTAGTCCCTCTCCAAAATACGACCCCCTCCCCTATATGCCTCCCTGAAACAAGAGAAATCAACCATCAAAAAATTTCTCAGACCAAATACGACCCCCTTCCCCGCGGTAAAATACGACCTCCCCGTTGTGATCATCACAATGATGACGTGCCCTTTGCGTCCGCCGCGTATTCTGACGATTTGTCCAAATATTCGACTGGCTGCGCTTATCACTCGTTCGGTCCTCCAGATTAAATGACGGATGGGCTCCTATCAGGGCTTTCTAGGTCTCCAGGGCGCTAAATTGGTACCAGACTCGTCTGGGATAATAAAACCATGTTCTTGCGCACTGCATAACCCGAAGATGTGGCTTCATTCGTTGCGCTCATTTGAAGATGGCGGTGACTGCCGTTCTGATTGGATATTGATCTTTTTAGGACAATTGTAGGTAGAACGTTTTTGTCTGTCACAAGACAGGATGACAACTGAACCATATGGAAATACTCAATTAAGTCAGCGTCCTGTGCTGTTGTTCAAAGGCTAATGCCGTTTGGACTCCAGAAATTTCGGCACCGAGCTCATTTTTAAATTGCCTAAGTCACCAAATCCGCTAAAAACTTGTATATAGGGGTAATTCAACATCCTGATCACGAATATGACATTCATTTTTAGCGCTGGCGCTAATGGATGACACTACGATTATCTGCGCTCTGCTAAGGCTGAGCCCAGGAGGTAATCGTAGTGTCCTCTTGGCGCCAGCGACAAGAGTGAATGTCATATTCGTAATCAGGGTACATAGAAGGCCGTGTTAAACTACCCGTGTATACAGGTTTTTAGGCGGATTTTCGTAGACTGTAGGCAGATTTTGAAATGGGGCATCAACGGTGACGAATTTGCTGAGAGTCCAAACGCACTCGGCTTGTCAAATGGAGCAGCTTCGCAGTCTAATCGGTGCGGACTAGTCCGCAGGGGCGGTAGAGCAGCAGCGGTTCCGAGTTCGCGTTCGTTCCACATATGCCGCTACCGACTAGCGGTCGGGGGGGACGGAATTCCGTTTTTAGGAGAGGAAACACCAATGATGGAACGTCGAGCAGCTGAGAACGGACTGATCGACCCCAGCGATTGCGGTGATGTTAAGTGTAGTCATACCCTCACCTCCGGGATATGGCATGGACAGGCCATTCTATGGGCCCTATCGCATTCAAAGGATTCCGCAGTACTGAATGGCAGTCAAATGCGCGGCGAACCCCAGAAAGGTAACCATAAACATCTAGGGCTTTATTGTTCACTTGTTATCTTTCCACAAAATAAGCGGCTGTAGTAATGGGGTGGTGAGAACCTATAAAACAAACAGCAAGTACAAATCATACATAGCAGGGGATATTACAAGAATCTAAAAGGCAATTCTAGGTTGATAATCGCCCGCAGAAACATCTAAGCTGCTTCAGCTTCTGCAAGTTTCTCTTCTCCGCAATCCACTATTGTAACCTTTTCCTTCGGCTTCCCAGTTCGTGATCCCATTGATTCAATCTTTTTCACCACACTCAGTCCATCAGTTACTTGACCAAATACGACATGTTTGCCATCCAGCCTGCAAAGCGAGCACTTTCACAACAGTATAGAGAGAACAGCAACTGATAAGGTGAATGATGACGAATTCATCACCAGTCATGTGTTTTTGGGATTCGACAAGCATTCTGCTTTCTTTCAGAACCGTGGCTCTCCAGACGCTACTGGTACAATCATACTTGCTGGGCGCTCAGCTGATGAATATTTACCCTTCCGAACAAACTTGGTAGCAACTAGTCGAACTCAGTGGATGGAAGGCTTGTGGGAAGGTGGAAGCTGACCAGAGTGATAATTGAACCATGCGCGTGATAATATTGCCAGGTCAGCCAAACTACGACGCACAGTCCGTGTGTGGTACACTGACATTACCAGAAAAAAACAAAAGCTAGCTGTCTCACAATCAAGTAAAACCAGGCTCTCTGATTTACGACTTGACTTTCGTACATTCAGAACTTTCCAAAACGCTCTCCCACAATCTATCCAGAGACGGGGCTACGGTACCGACAAATTGCGCCCTTCACAGCGCAAGGTTGGAACCGTTAACCTAGTTGAATCTTGAACTTTCATTCTTTCAGAGATTATCATCGATATTATATCTGCCCAGTGGATCCAGTACTGACGCATGCAAGCTGCCTTTTGTAAGTAATTCTGCCTGGCACTAATGTAGGAAAGCCAATTACGCATAGATAGTTAATTACATGCGCCTGAATCTTTGGGGTGTAGCACTTCAATTAATCACATTGGAGCGGTCAACAAATAAAAAACAGGATATCAGCTGTAGCGCTATAGCGCTTGAAATCAGCGGCTTATCGAGTACAGAAGGGTTCTCAAGAGAAGAAAGGTGACGAGGCCTACTAGGAAGGTCAATCAGGATGTAAGACACTTTCCTCAAGACTTTTGCATGATCGATGAAGCGCAGCATTAGCTCTCTCTTTATCCCTTTTGACGTTTTCACAGTCACTGAGAACGAGCTTTGGTTTCCAGCGAGTTCTTGCACACCACCACGTTGTGCTCATAATAAGAAGGCAGTTTCGAAGGACGCTCGAAGTCGCTGACCGGCACCCCTCCCCTGGTCCTCCTTCACGGAATCTTTCGTTGATCCTGGAAATAACAGCAGCGGAAGAAGACCTCTTCGAGCATGCTCACAGGCACCGATGGACATACTTATCTGCGAGCTGAGAACATCCGACCCCCCTGTTCCAACACGTATAAGTTCGCCTGGACGAACGGTTGGACCGCCGCCCGCCCTGGCGGGATGAGTTCGGCACAGTACCAAACCCGTAGTTGTTGAAGCGAGAAGTGATATGACCGTATCGTGTTCGTATTACTCGTTTTCTACCACTTTTGTCGCATGCGCGCTTCAACAAGAAGGCAGAGAACGGCTTTGACGGCGTGACACACTCATACTGCCTGACACGCCCAACCGTCCGCTGCGAACTAGAGTGTATTTACATTCCTACATCAAGGAATAAAACGTCTGAATGGTTATTCAAGCTGAAGTTCTTCATGAAGCTCCTTCAATTAGCCCCTTTTTCACTTTTACACGCAATGCTTCAACAAATACGTACCAAGGAGTGTCGGCAGTACATATAAAGAATTGACTGCCATTTGTGTTTGGACCCGCGTTTGCCATTGAAACACATCCGAGACCACTATGCTTTAGTGTAAAGTTCTCATCCTGAAACAAGTTAGAGTAACTAAATTAAAAAAATGCGGCTCTAGCACCAACCTCGAACTTATGACCATATATAGATTCACCCCCTCGTCCGTCTCCCAGAGTAAAGTCCCCGCCCTAAAACATTTATATAGTGATGATTACCGCTTATAATCGTCCTCCTCATTCTCCGAAATTTCCGTGAGCTCACCTGGATCATGAACTCGGGTATAATGCGATGAAACGCTGAGCCCTTAAAATGAAGTGGAACTCCACTTCTTCCCTTGCCTTTTTCTCCGGTGCATAACGCTCGGAAGTTTTCTGCAGTCTTTGGTACAACGTCATTGAACAGCTGAAAGAATACCTCTGAAGTTTCAGACAGATAAGAACCTGATGGCATCTAATTCACTTCTATTGTTATCTTTCCTGCGTGTGTATCTCCAATATTGACATCAAGGAATACACGGCTTCGAGCCGAACTTGAAGCATATCGTATGGCGTTTATAAGGAACCGTGATCGAAGGAAAGACATCCTATAACGAAATGTCAAATGATTAAGGGACCGCACGAAAATGCGATAGATTGGAGGTGAACATGAACCGTTCTTTAGAGTAAAAACAAAACAAAAGAAGCACCAAAATCTGCAAAAAAAAACTCCAAACATCCAAGAGAACCCGAAAATTTTTCGCAAGCACCAGCAGGGTACATTCGATTGGAGGCAGCTCATTACAGTATTTCAGATAGCAGAGGAAGGTTCTAAGCACAGAAATACCCGAAGGAAGAAATAAAAATGAAAATTTTTACAAAAAATTTGGATTCTTTTAGATCTTTGGAAATTTTCGCAATAAGTTTTGATGCGCTTTTGTTTGTTTTTACATTCAGATTTTAACGAGGCTCCGAAACAGCACAATACTCCGTTTTTTAGTGACTAAACTCGCCGAAAATAACGCAGTTTACCGCCACATGATATCCACAAGTAGCCGAAGTATTGATGAAACAGAAATAGAAAGTTGTATATTTCACGCAAGAGGAACGTTTAGTAGAATTCATAGCACAACCTTGCGAGATAATCTTTTATTAGAAGCACAAATAATAAAAATCCCAACAAAACAAAAACAGTGGCAGTAACTACCCTAACAAAACAAATTATTTAAATAACAACAGAAGAAACCCTTTTTCAAGTCATAAAAAGAACGAAAAATCACATCATTGTTTAACAAATCCTGGCTCACACTGATCCTTAATGCTTACTATAAATGTCTGGATTTGAATCCTAGTATGAGTAAGTTTTCAGGTGATACTGATTTCGGGACATATTCGATAACTTGTGTGGAAAATCCAAGCCCTGCTAGGTGACGAACGCGTCCCATCTCCAGTATCACTTTCGCTTGACGTCCCATCTCCTCCTTCCATAATGTCGACCTGAATATAGGAAATTCCGACGAAATAACTATTCATGATCGAATGCCCTCTTTCACTCTGTGACACAACTATCGCGTAACAAAAAAAAATAAAGCCTATCGCTAGGTGTGCATTTGCTGGGTTCTCAATGCGCGATTCACTGTCGATGAGTCTTTAAGATTGACAGGAAAACTGAGTAAACTATCGTGAAGCTATGCAATAGCACGAGCTTACCCAAGAGTGCACATGTCTTACAAAGGTGAGACGTTTAATTTTACTGGAATTCGCAAAGCAAAACTAGCGAACTGCAAAATATCGCTCCAAGAAGAAAGTGCGTAATGATAATAGATTGCTGCAAATGTGAGCGACCACAGCAGATGGAATGAATCAAGGGGGTAGACGAGGTTGAGCAAAAAAGACACATGAAGCGCATCATATCAGCCCAACTAACGGTCAAACAGATAACCTAAGCCCACTCCCTTGAACTCCTCCCAATCTTACAGATTCTGCTGAAAACGAGTACGTTGGGAAACCAAGGAATGCTTGCGGTCAAATCCCATCCCTTCATTTTATAAACCAGTAACTTTGTGTGTCGGTTTGTATGTATGTAAGTATGTAAGTATGTATGTATGTATGTAAGTATGTATGTCTGTCCGTCCGCAAAATGTTTCACGGGTTCGATTTACTGGAGGGAAAAACGACCGCTAGGCAAACCGGAAATCGGTTGGTGCAGATGTATCAATGCAATGTGATTTTGATAGCATCCTCCACTATATAAGACAACCATTCGGTACACTCCGAGCCATTGCACGAGCTGCTGCCGTGGCAGCTGGACGTGTGCTCGTGCGGGGGCAGGGGAGGGGGGCGAAGGGGGGGGGCACCGAGTGACCCCTCCCCTCTGCTTCCATCACCTGCACGTGCTCAGCGGGACATGAGCATGTGCAAGTGGAGGAAGCAGAGGGGAGGGGATACGGTGAAGGGGGGGGGGGGGTAGCGCACGCTCGAGTGGAAGACGCAGCAACAGCAAGGAATGAGAAAACAACCCACAGAACAATTTCAAATCCTTTTCATTCTATAAACCATTCGTCCGCAAAATGCTTCACGGGTTAGAATTAGTGGAAGGAAGAACGACCGCTAAGCAAACCGGAAACCGATTTTTGCAGATGTATCAATCCAATGTTTTGATTAGGATAACAGCTTCCCCTATATAAGACAACCATTCGGTACACTCCGAGCCATTGCACGAGCTGCTGGCGTGGCAGCTGGACGTGTGCTCGTGCGGGGGCAGGGGAGGGGGGCGAAGGGGGGGGGCACCGAGTGACCCCTCCCATCTGGCTTACCATCACTGCAAGGCTCAGCGGAACAGTGAGGCATTGCAAGTGGAGGAAGCAGAGGGGAGGGGATACGGTGAAGGGGGGGGGGGGGTAGCGCACGCTCGAGTGGAAGACGCAGCAACAGCAAGGAATGAGAAAACAACCCACAGAACAATTTCAAATCCTTTTCATTCTATAAACCATTCGTCCGCAAAATGCTTCACGGGTTAGAATTAGTGGAAGGAAGAACGACCGCTAAGCAAACCGGAAACCGATTTTTGCAGATGTATCAATCCAATGTTTTGATTAGGATAACAGCTTCCCCTATATAAGACAACCATTCGGTACACTCCGAGCCATTGCACGAGCTGCTGGCGTGGCAGGGGAGGGGAAGCCCAGTGCCCCCCCCTCTTTGCTTCCTCCCCCTGCGCGTGCTCAGTTGGATCTGAGCATGCACAAGGGAAGGAAGCACAGCCGGGCGGTCCGACTGGAACACTGGGGTTTGTTCCGGGGCATGTTATAGGTTATGGCACAAAACTATGTGGGTGACAAGAACAGCTAGCTGCTGATAAGGGGAGTTAGAGTGGAAAGGTCAACACACTCATAACGCGGGACACAGCACCAGTTGGGCGTTGATTCCAGCAAATGATATCAAGAGGAAAGTGGAGACAGCGAAGGCGGATGACAGGAAGGGATGACGGTTGATAGGGCCTGATAGAGATTTTTGCAGTTATTGTTCAATCAAATGCTGGAGCCTTTACACCACGGAATTATGGAGTTTTAGTGATAGCAACACTGATGACGGGTGGCAAGCAATTTTATCAATTGATAAGTAAAGATAAGGGGACATGACATCTCTGACCACTATACTGCCAAAAAACCCTCTCAGTAGGCGAACTTTTCCTCCAGCTATCACTTCTCTGATAGCACTAGAAAGTGAACTCATCCCACTAGGAGGGGAATGCAAATATGCAACCTTAGCAGGCGGATTACATGTTAATGACAACTTAATCACCCATCGTTGGTATTGTGATGCAAATAAAAACGGAATAGGTTCATCTACTGTGCAACACGGGACGGGACGTGGGCAACATATTGATATTCTGTACTTCCTATATATTTCTAAGATCTACGTATAGAATGGGCGTTATGGCCAAAACCAGCACGCCTTTTGCAAATATGAGGGGTGCAGATTTCGCTAGGTTACTCTATCTATTTTGATTCATTACCACTAGCGCGCAATATGAGCAGCTCAAACAATTAACAAATTCCATCCCGTTATGATGTGCGCCTGGCGAAGCCAGGCCAGCTCGGCCAGCTCGGCGAAGCCGAGTTTAAAAGAAGGAGGAGAGCTCGCGGTCAAGCCGGGGCGATCCGACTGGTAAAATAGACAAACCATAGAGTAGGCGATATTCTCGAGGAACCTGCCAAAAGTGACCGTCACAGTGACCCTCTAATCCAAACAGCTTTAGGCTGATGCTAAGATTGCAGATTTATTGACTTCGTCGTTAATGGACGGCTTTGCCTTATCGTGAAGGTGGAAGCACTGATGAAGGACTTGCTCCTACTTATGAAGAAACACCTCAAGAATATATTAACTTGGGCCTCCCCGCACACCTCTTATTGATGCGCATAACTCGCGACACAGCCAAACAAGCAAGAAGGTACTGTACTCCAAGCCCTATCAATGTATCACGCCGGTACCGGTACGAAGTTTTCTAACATATTTTTTTGCTCACTTTTGTTGACTGCCTCGCTTAGAGTTCAATTGAAGAAGTGATTCCAGCCAATTATTCTTTCAGGATTGAATTTTTCATAATGTTAGCACTTATGAATTCAGATGGGTAGTTTGTTCGAACCACCCAAGATTATTACAGTTTACTAGACATATGCTTCAGCTTCTTCGCCTTCGTCACAGCCTGAAAGAGTCAAAACAGGTGCAACTTGTCCTGTCTTCTTCTTTTACCAGTAGACGGTTTACTAGGATCTCAAAATGGTTCTCAGCTATTGCTGTGGCGTTTGAGGAACAAATCAATCTGCTTTTGGTTTTTTTTTCAGGCTCTGACGAAGGCGAGGAAGCCGAGATGTTGGCTTGATAAACGGTGACAATCTTAGATTTCTACTGAAGGCCTTTCAAAACGCTCAAGTGATAAACGGTGACAATCTTAGATTTCTACTTGAGGCCTTTCAAAACGCTCAAGTTGTTTCATAAAATTCGTGTCGTCTAACATTATCGAGAAAGGCAATACCATAGGAACATACCAAGGGGTCATCACCGCATCGCCCGTACCGTTCTCTAAGGAGCTCGATTTGATAAAAGGCTGGCGTTCATTGTGATCCATTGCACCATCCTCGCCAACGGATTCGTGGGTGTGCTGATCGATGGTGGAAACATCTGCTCCAGATTCTCGGACAGCATTCACCTTGCCAAATCCACAAACAGCCCATGTAGCAATATGACGTAAGGCAGCGAAATCACCTTCGCTGTCCATATTCCATAGAGCTAAGAACTCTCGCCCGGAGTACTAAAATCAGAGATATTCAGATAGCAGTGGGCAAACTAATTCCCCCAAATAAAGACGCGAACTCGACTGCTAGGTTTTGCTGTCGCGCCCCAGCAATGTCTCCCCTTCCCCACCCGGAGATTTCTCCTAAACTACTCACTTTCTGAAAGGTTTAACAGACAGCTATCAAATCTAGCTTCCCTTCGAGGTTTCCCCTCCCTGCAAAGGACTGTCAAGAAATCTCTGCGACACTAGCGATCAGAGGCTCTAAAGCTTAGAAGACCCAGCAGCTACGACTTTTTCATCGCTCCTCAAACCAAGTTGTCTCCTTGACGAAGAGAATAGTACCAATGGTAGGATGTTCCGTAATTTTGTGCTTGTAACTCATTAGATGGGTGCCTTTTTATAACGTTCACTGGATCTCTACCAAAACACATTTCGCTTATTTACCTCAACGTATCGAGATTTGTGATGGCAACAAGGTACCAAAACGAAGCCGTCAAGACTGAGCCCACTGCGCATACCATTCGACAGACATCGAATGCCGGCGTCAGTCGCAGTGCCACAGAAGTGCTTACAGACGGCGCACAGATTTGACACATCCTAAACTTCAACTTAAGTCTAAATTCAAATACGGTAACGCTAGGCTGATAAATGAGCTTCTAAATAGGATTCAAAAATCCTAGAATTGTGCAGTTTGGAGATAGCATTTCAGTGAGAGTTGTAAGCCTTATAATATTAATATAGATGCTTCATTATGCTAACGTTCCGAAGAAAATCGCTTTCTTTGGAGTCCGCAAAGTCGGAGGCAATCCTCGATGCAATTTACACAGTATCCATTACTGTAAGAAAAAACTCTGTAGGCTCCAAAGACGGCGATTAACGCCGAAAAATTAGTCCACTGAAAGGTTTATATCAACTCCAAACCGAAATACCACGTTGGTTATGCCGGGATTTGTCGAACTTCCATCACGGAACACTCAAAGTAGAAGATTACCAAATGAATGTAAAGAGCTCACCTTCAGCATCTCCACTTCCGCCAGATTAAGATGCTCAATGGAGCACCGCAACCGCTTTATATTCAACGAAGGGTTTTCCTGAATTCAACACAAGTACTGGTAACTTTTCCAAACAAGTGTCGCTAATTGATTCACTGATTTACTTGGAGAGCTCTGTTGTCGTATTTGTTCCTAGCACCGCTCCTGTCAACAAGAAGAAACTTCGACAGAGGAGCTCTCTTCATCATCCAGTAAGCAAGATGCGCCTATAACAATGGATATTCGATAGCTAACAATGAGAAACATATAAGGAGAACAATATGCAGCTCAAAGAGGGGTCTCGAACTTAGGACTACATTTATCTATTTCAGCATACATTCCTTCAACTTTGAACCCAGTTCTTCACCTTCACTTCTAAGGCTTCACTCCTGAACTCTTCACCAGTAACCCATCGCAATCATAGGATTGCCATCTTCACACCCATCTCATAAGCTGATAAATGCAAAATGGTTATCACAGGACTGGGTTTGCTCGCCGGACGTCTGACCATGTTACCTAATTACTGAATGAATAGGTTATCTTGACGAGATTCTGCGGGTCCCTAACAAAATGAGGTTCTCCCAGCACTTCTTGCCTTCTGACATTTCGTCAGCCCAATAAACACTGGCAGCTGAGTTCATGAGAGTTCAAGCTAAAAAACTGAAAATGTTTACTTACTCACTTTACCTGCACCAAGTTCCAAAATACAAGCAGAGGAATCATTTCTTAGAAGACCAACGCGCTCCAGATGACCTGAAAGAACTCTGAGCTGGTAATCCAATAATGAGGGAGTTTCCACGGAAGACTAAAATAACCACCTATTATGGAACTCTGCTGGATAAGATGCTTGCGCTTACTCTCAGAAAGGTTGCAAGCTTGTTCAAGATGTTCATCAACTTCTACACAATGAGCCTGGTCTACTGCCAGTTCGTGGCAGATGGAGCTATAACAACGTTGGAGCTTCTCTATGGTACGAGCGATCTCCTCCTGAAATGAGGAACATCTTGGAATAAGAACATGGAAAGAAGTGGCCTGTGGCACATAAACAAATCTGGCATTTTGGATTAGCGAAAAATTTGTTCTGCAGGGTAGTTCCGTGCTCTCAGCCCAAGAATTACATTCATGACGCCGAAACACCTGGAGCCCCCCTAGAGACGTCTAGCAAAAGCCATCGACGATTCTGACGACTTTGAGCACTCATAACTTGCTTGTGAGAGCCAGGTACCAATTGCTGCATTGGTAGTTGAGACCAGCATTACAAACTCCATCAATATAATTACGTCCTCATTTAAGGTAGGTTGGGAATGGGAACTATAGGATGGTCAGTGCTTTCCTGTTTTTTTTCTTGTTCTCTTTTTTTTCTTGTCTTGTTTTTTTTCTTCCAACTAAATAACGAGCGAAATCCGTGAGCGTGAACACCATGCAGGTCCGTACCTCTACAAACTACTGACAAATATCTGAAAGTTGGGTAGTTATCATACACAGAGCGTGACTCTTCATCGAATCGCACATTTCCTGCTCGACTAATAAACTATCGTTTGCTATTCCAGAGCAAAAAAAAGAAACTTAGAGAACGAGGCCTTGGAAAGATACTTACTTCGCTTGGCCTTCTGTCAATTTTCGCAGTGAACTTCGTTTCTCCTACCATCGCATTCACGTCTTTCACAATCCATTGCTCCTCTACTATGCGGGAGTTACACCTTGAACGATTACACTTCCGCATTGGACAAGATGAAAATTCAAAAAAAAATCGTGACTCAAATATTCATGCACTGCCTTCCTCGATAACCTTCCTTCATGTGACTACTGTGGGGTGAGAATACCCCATTAATAACTAGGTTTAATCTTTAGGTGCGGGTAGTCTTGAAAAAAAAATGGCATGCTCACACAGCTGATCTCATCATGCGCAACACCTTTTCTTCTCACCCTCACGTCACTATCAACTCCACCCACTCACGTCACCTCACTCACCTCACCTCGACACACAGCCCAACACAGCTCTCTCTCCTCCTCTCTTCTCTTTCTCACTCTCTTAGCAATGAGCGTGATAGGCCTAACAGAACATATTAACGCAGCAACACTTTAGAACCGCGTTCATAGTTTATGATGGAAAATAGGAAGAAATACGACGGCTAGATCTATGAAAATGCTCGTCAATGTAAAAGTGTGCAGTATCAACGTGGCAGTTTGGAAAAGACAAGGAAAGTCGGCGACTCAAAGTTTGAAGAAGCGTTCCTTCCGAAACGCTGAATCGCCATCGACCCAAATCATTCAGTAGCCGTTCACTCCTTTACCGCTTATTCTCCAGAGAAGTTGAACCGATTAGTCGATTCTCCTATTGGCCCATTCTTCTATTCTCCCGTCACAAAGCACGCATTAAAAGGGCTTTTCTTCTTTTTCCGTACACAGAACATATTGAAAACTTGGAAAAGAGTTTCATATTCAAGGGACTCTGGCTTCCTCATTTTCAAATTAAAACCTATATAACATTAGGAATCGTCCATAACAATCATTAGGAAAACAGTGAACAAGATGTAAGTAGGTTTTTATACAATAGCAACGAAAATTAAACGGTTGGATAAAAATTAAAGAAACGGAAACAAACTCGAAATCAATGGTGCAACCTCAGAAGATGCTGCTGAAGTACACGACGATCCAACTGTGTGCTTGGGATCGTTGGGACATGGTATACGGTCCTACAATATCACAATGTACTTAAACGAAACTGTCCAAGGAAGAAATCACATAAGTACATAAAATTAGTTTTGCTTGCACGAGAACTATTGTCGCATTCAGGGTTTTCCGCTCTCTCAAGGGCAGGATCAATGTTGTCAATATCCGCTCATTATCAACGCGAGGTATCAACGTGGCAGTTTGGAAGATAAGGAAGGTCGGCGACAGTAATAGTACAGTAAGTATACAATCACTCATTGCCACTTGTTGAAACACGCCCGGTTCACTTGGTGGGTAGATGCCCTTCCCTGGACATGGTAGTCCTGTCCGCAAGCATGGCCGATGCACTACTTGCCCAGCTTACCCGACTTTCATTTTTTTGATACTTGGTGGTGTGGCTGCTCCGCTACTCTCTCCATTTCGAATGATGAAAGTGAGGTGATAAGTAGAAAGAAGGTGGCACCAACAACCGAGAACTCGTCCGACCACGCCCTTTCCTCGCATTATGCAGTACCAGTCCCGCATGGATTTCTATATGGGGCATTTCGGAGGGGTTTTCTCTCCTTTTTTTTCTCCATTTTTGTGTTACTTAACCATTTTGTCCACCAGTATGTGAGCAGCTCACCACTTTTTTGAACCCGGGACGTGCCTTTGATGGAGCCACTGGTTGAGAGCAGGAATGAATGCAAAATGTGAAAAAAACACATCAATAACCTCATTATCTTCTTGAAAATTAGCATGTTCTCCGCAATATTTCTGTCCCTCTCGAGTTAGCATGCGACAGTTCCGACCTTTCTTCGGCAAAACAAAAGCGCAGCGCTTCTGAATCTTCTCCAAGTTCGACATGGTCGCCCAAAAAATATGAGTACAATGAAGATTGACCAGTCGAACCAACAGTCGTGAACCTACGAAGAAAAAGTTCCTTTGAATGAAACATGCGCTCTTTCCAGAGGAATAACCACGGTCAATCTCAGACCATAAAACGAATTAATGATGGTAATGACGGACAGAACCGCTTCAAATAAACAAAACACAACGATTTAAAGAATGCTGTATAAGCATTTAACCGTACATTGCAACATCACTAAAGCGCCATACACATGTGATAAAGACAAATAAATTGATGCAAACAGGAAGAGCACAATAAAAATTTAATTTGGACTTTCTTAGCTTTTACTTTGACAAAACGGAAATGTCCTATACTTCATAAGCAGTTTTCACTTTTTATGTCCTTAACATGAGGAAACACGCATAAAAATTCTTTTAATGCTTCAGGAGCTTTAAGATGGCCGATCACTAATGACCGTTTGGAACGTCTTCTGATCACTCAATATATCTACATTGTGAATATCTATGATGAAAGAACAACAATAGAACTCATCAATTGCCATTGGACAAATGGAGTTGAAAGATGAAATCAAATGAACAATCACTGCTATCTATACAATCTACGTACAATTCGATGAACCTAGACCTAAAAGGGAACAACGCAGGCTCACTCTAACAACAACTATTTCTGCCTAACTCTGTTTGACCGGCACTTTGAAGCAATCTATCTTCATATGGTAGCAAATCTGCCGTGTAATGATGGCACAATATATAAACAGTGAAGCGAGAGTATAGCACGTGACCCATATCAACAATTTCTTTTCGCAGATCCAGAAGTCATAGTACCTGAAAACATATTACTGAAGTAACTTGATTAACACGTTCGAGGCGGCGTGTACTCCCGGGAGTACACGCGGAAACCCCTGTTTTCGGTCATTCGTACAGTATTGCGAAAACACGCGCATATTTTTTTGTTCTTTTTGCGACTGATTATATTCTACTAGCATACATTTACACAATTAACACATCAATACGAAGAAAAAATTGTAAAAATATGCCAAAAACAACGAAGAACGTGAGTTCTGGGCGAAATGGCCTTCGCCTCGAATGTGTTAACTAACAGTAAGTTGACCAATGCTTTTGCAAAGGACCACTGGTCTGTGTTGCAGAACAGTTCCTGAGCACACTGCGGCAAGTGGGGTGGCGGAGGAGAAGCACTCGTGAACTAGCAAGAAGAATGTTAATTTTCACGATACTTGTTACTTCCTAGCGTTATACATTTTTCAGAGTAGGACGATACGAAGAAAAATGACTGTGATTAAGGAGATGAGAATTTTGAGGCCTGCGGGAAGGAGTCAAAAGTGCGAAAATGCACAGAAGGCTATTTCGAAAACGAAACTGTCATACTTCTTAGGTTCAAAGGCACCACGTGTTCAAAAATGAGTTGTTCGGCTTAAATTTCAATGACAAGACGGTTAGTGAGCCAGCAGTGAAGAAGAAAGCAGGAAAAAAATAACTGCCGAAGGCACCCCAATAAGAACCCCATGTTGAATCGCGCTTGTATCTGCATAAGAGGAACAATGGGCGTGGTCGGACGAGTTCTCACTTGTTGGTGCCAGATCTTTCTCCTCATCACCATTCGACATGGAGAGTGGTAGAACCGCATCATCAGGTAGCAGTTTGAAATGAAATTTGGGCGTACTCGCGGTTAGGCTGCGTTTATACTTTGCAGCAGCGTAGCGTAGCGCTTCCAGCGTTTCACGAAGCCTTTCCGTTGGCGCGGGGTTAGAGGGATAGAAGAGGTAGCGAGAGGTAAAAAATACTAGATCGATAGCTATGCTTCCCGTGCCCTCGCTACGCTAGCATTACGCTAGCGTGCGCTAGCGTACGCTGACGCTGGGAACGCTAGATCGATATCTATCCTTTCCCCGACACTGCCGCTGGCGTACGCTGGAAGCGCTACGCTGCCGCAAAGTATAAACGCAACCTTAGTGGGCGGACGCGCTTCCTAATGTAATTTTGAGCAGCGGAATTAGTACATCCTCCACCCTTGCAGCGCGGACTCCAAAGAAGGCGCCTGAACATCAAATGAACACGGAGCGTGCCTTCAAAGGAAATAACAAGAGGCGGAACTGTGACATTTTAACATTACCGAATTTCGTAAAAACTTGTCAACTCACTGATTGAGCATAAGCGCTATTGGTCCCATATAAATCCAGTCCCATAAAACGAGTTCACTTCGACTCATATGTCCCACTATCAACCGGTTTGTTGCCTTAGCAGATTGAGAAATTTGTTCCACGAAGTCCACGTCAGTACACAAAATGAAACTGCGAATCACCTTGGCAGCTACTGCACCGAAGCATAGCACAAATATGGTGATATTTTCGTCGAAAACAGCACTTCGCGATTTGCTGTATATCATGCAGAATGGAATAATAGACGCCAAAAGTGGGCAGACAGGGAAAAGAACGGAAGTACCAGCAACTGGAACTAAATAGATGAGAAAAAGAAGTGCAGTGAAAATAGTTCATATCAGCTTGAAAAAGAGACGCGACGTCAGCCCACCTGTCGACCCGTTTCTTCCAACTCCACCTGTGAGAATAACGCCGAGGTGGCACATGCTTGTATAGATAGCTACAAGGAGTGTTGTTAGCAGAAGCATATGTCGTAATTGGTAACCAAAGGCCCCTGAAAGGAGTGGACGAATCCAAGAACTAAATAAACAAAACGAGACAAAAACTCTTGAAGACGAGTTGTACAATCACCTCCGAGGAGGGTCCAAGCACTGTGCTATCAGCGGGTCCGCAGTTGCAGTAGCGTGCTATGTTTCTTGTTCCTAGCGTTCACGGGAGGGCTGGTTTTGGTAGAGGTACCCGAGTGCCGTCTCGCGCGATATCCTCGAGCTGCAGCATTTACGTCGATACCAAGGTCCCGCAATGAAACTGTACTCAGTGATAGGGAACAAAGAGGGTATACAGACACCAGACAAGTAACGCGTTTGGCTGTGATCAGGACATTGAGCCGCTCTGCGGCAGTACGGGCGGAATATGGAT